CAATAATATGCAACTATTCAAATTGAAATAATAATAATTTTTTAATTAGATTTATTTTTTTATATGAATTTGATTTTTATTTAGTACTTTTATTTAATTAATATCTTAATTTATTTCTAGTTAAATTTCTTATTAATATTTTATTTCTAATAATTTATAAATAAGTTTTAATTAGTGAATAATTTTATTTTATTTTAATTTATTTTGACGAGAAGAATAAATTTTTATTTTTGATATCTTTTTTACAAAACAAAGTTGTAGTCTATAATCTTAAATATAATTTTCTTTTTTATTTATTTTTATTTTGTTTTTTTTTTTTATTTTTACATTTACCACTATTTTATATTATAAGTATACAATAAAAATATAAATTAGACTAATACCTTTTACATCCTATTTATTACAAAGAACAAAAATAAAAAACACAAAATATTTAAAAATCAAAAGTACATATACAATAGTATGCAATTAGATGATAACTCACTTCTAATACTTTTTAAGTTTATGTAGCTTAATCTTGTATATATAAATACAATTCATCCATTTATGGTCTTTTCAACTATTGAATGGTTATAAATTTATATTATTAAATTTTAAAATATAAAAAATTCAAAATATATTTATACTTCTTAAGACATTATCAATTCTTTTAAACCATGCTCTTGGTGATTGTTAGAGTCCATAAATTGATTTTTCAATTTGCAAAGAAGTATTTTATTCCATGATAAATTAAGCCCTTTTAATTTTGCCACATAAATTTCATGTTTAAGATGACCATTTAGAAATATTTTTTGTACATCTATACAATAAATAGTATAATTTTTATTATCTTATGTGTTCTTTTCTTTACAATCTATAAAATCATTATTTTTAAAATTTTTAAAATTTTTAAAATTTAAATTACACAAGTCAAAATTTTATATTGAAACATAGACATGATAATCATCTAACCTTATGTTTTTTTTTCCAGGATACGTAGATTTGTAAATAACACGATTAACTTAGAGAAGAGAATTATCACTATATTTTTCAACATTATTTGAATCATTGATTCTGATGCTAAAACTCTTCTTATATTATCACCTCTTATAATTCTTCTAATGGTTATGCTAATGAATGTTTATTTAAACAAGTATTGATATTTTTTTAAAATTTTATTGGTTAATAATATATTTTAATTAAATATGAATAAATCAATATTTTCTTCTAGTAATAAATTAAGAAATTTGTTAAAGCTACTTTCCAATTTTGTTAAAGCCACACCTTCTTAACCATGTAATGATTAATTTTGGGAGACATCAAACAAGGAGTGGAGATGAGAATGGAAAAAACCAATCATGAGATAGTAATATGAGGTGTGGCTTTAATAACATTAAGGTGTAGATTTAACAACTTCCTAAATTAATAGTTAAGGTAAAATTTGGATCAATTTTTTTTCATCAAATTTTACACCTTAAGATCTAATAATCTTTTTTATAATATGGTTGTAGGAATAATATAAACAACTATTTTCATCACAACCTATAAAGAGTATAAAAAAACTTTTGGAATCTAACTTATTTTTTATTCTTGATGGTATATGACAATATGCCACACAACCAAAGACTTTTAAATATACTAGTTTTAATTTCTTATTTGTAAATGCTTCTTCTAGTGTCATAAGTCAAAATGCCTTTTTAGGACACCTATTTTTAATGTAATAAGCTGTTTTTGTAGCTTCTTTTCATGAATATTTGAGTACTTTTATTCCAATAATAATACTTTTCACTTCTTCAAAATAGATTGATTTTTATGCTTTGTAATGCCATTTTGTTGTAGAGCATATGCTGAGGTAAGCTCTCTTTTAGTTGTTTTTTAGTTGATAGTAGCTTCTGAAGTCACTTGTCATATAATTGCTTCTACAATCAATTTCAAGACATTCTATCTTTCTATTTGGATTTTCTAATAACAATTTGAATTCTTTCAACTTTTCTATAATTTGAGATTTTTCTTGTAGAAAATATAACCATAACTTGTTAGTATAATCATCTAAAAAGTTTAAGATATACTTATTTTTATTCTTTGATGGAAATGGTAAAGATCTACATAAAACAAAATGAATAATTTGTAAGAAGATAGACAACAAACTTTTCTATTTCTTAAGAAAATGCTCTTTGTGAATTTTTCCTTGTATACAACTCACACATATTTCTTTCAACAAAGATATTTGCAAAATTCAACTAACTAAGCCTTGATTAGATAAGTAATATAAGCTTCAATAATTAATGTGACTAATCTTTTTATGCCAAAGTCTAATAATATTTTTAAATATTTGTGGAATTTTTAAAACAAGTATCTTATTTGTAGTTGAATTAGTGTTGATTATGTGAAGAGTATTATTTTTTTGGAAGTGAAGAAGCCATATAAAGATGGTACTTTTTTTCTTCAACATAATAAAGCTTATTTTTTGCTTTAATTGCTTGTAAAAAAATCACCTTCAAATTTTCTTTGCTTAATACATAATAATATTTAAAGTTAAATAATATTATATACTCTAAATCTGTAAACTTCTAAGTTAAAAATTAATTAATTTTTATCCTTCAAATATAAAGAACATTCTTCATTCTTTTTAATTTTCTAAAAAAAAAAAAAATTATATTCTTTTGTCCAATTAGATGCAAAGTTTTAATATTTGATATCCTTGAATCTTTTATTTTTATTAGTAACTATTTATTTTTAGTTACATATAAGCTTGTTCTAAAGTCTAAAAACCACTTATTTTTGAAATCAAATGCATTAAAATAAGCATTTATTATAGCTTTTATTAAAGAATCCATTGCATATTCTTCTTCTTTATCATCTTTTATTACATTAGTATATTTTTGTTTCTTTACTCTTAAAAATTGAATTTATTATTATTTTATTTGATTTTCCAAGTTTTTTACATTATACTTTTGAGCAAAATGGCCAAATTTTCCACATTTTTTGCAAGTAACATAGTGTTTTGAACCTCATTCAATTTTAACTGTATTATTACTTATTTGATAGAAATTGCATTATTTTTCTTGGTCATTGCAACCAAATCAATGTCTTCTAAAATATTGGTATGACCTTGTCTTTTGAGTCCAAAGCCTCAAAAATACCTTCTTCTGTATAAGATTTTTTCCTTATCATCTCTAGTCTTCTCAATTTCACAAGAAATTTCTTTCTTGTAATAATAACCCTTCTAATTTGAAAAATGTAGGTAACTTCATCTCACTTTTTTGAATTTATGTCAAAGTAGACCAATTCTTTGGTTAACCATTAAATCTCAAAACATCATCTTTATTGCATATAAAAATACCTATTTTGACTAACAACTTAAGCAACAGATTGATTTCTTGCAAATATTTGTGTAAGCTTTTTCTTTTAGCTAATTTTAGAGCATATAACTCTTTCTTTAAAGCAAACTTTCAATTCAAGTTTTGTACATCATATAATGTTTGAAGTCTGTTTTAAATAGCTTTAGATTCAAGAATACCAATTACATGAAGGATAATAGACTCTCATACTATAGATGTAATAATATGGCAAACTCTAATATAATCTTGAAGAATAGAAGTTGCAATTGCATTCTTAATTGGTGTTATATTGTTGATGTTTGAACCTTGCCCTCTTGTATAGGATATTGCATGTGCAATTGCCGCAATAGGTGAAGTTGCTATGAATTCTTTGATGTTGACAATAAAAAGATGGAGACGACTACATCAACCTCCATAAGTTTTCTTGCATCAAAATCATTTGAAATCTACAACTCCATAAAATATAATTGATACTTCTAACTTCATTGTTTCAAGGATGTCTAAGGGAGATGAATGTGCAACAAGATTACTCCATCCAACAGCATGGGATGAAACCCTAACTCCGGAAAACAAAAGAGTGCCTGCGCATCATTGCAACCCTAACAGACAAATGATAAATTAGATGGATCTATACGTCAACAGTGCTCAATTCCATAATTCCACACGTCTACTCCAATCTTGCGCCAACGATAAAATCAAAAAGAAAGTTGAGAAGAGCGCCCTCGGCTCTCTTCTTCTTCTGGCCATAATCCATATCCCCCACGGACCTCGTCAACTGCACTTCTGTATCATCCATGCGCCTCACAGATCGCGTTGTCGTGCTGAGCTGGTTGATGAATAATGTGTTCACAGCAGTGGTGGATCACTAGGTGTGGCAATGTCCAAGCGATGATAAAAATACATAAACATTGGAGTATCTGTATAAATCCAGGCCAAATATAAAAGACAAGGCACAAGACCATCCTACCAATTTTCCACCATAGATTTTAAAAAAAGGCACCGCAAGATAATCAGTTTCAGTTTCAGTGTTTTTTTTTTTTTTTTTTTTTTTTTTTACTAATTTGTTTGTTTGTTTGTGAAACTGCAGTGGTGAAAACCCTGAACAAATTTCTGTCGGGATTCAAACTTGTTTAAAATTGTGGTTGCGCTCTGAGTTTCAGCCTTGCTCTCCTCCAGTAGTTTAGGGTCATTGCGGACCGAATCAATTTCAGGTATTGACAATGAGACAATATGAATTTCTTCACCTCCAATCCCAGGTCAACAACCGGCTGTGAGGCTCTACTAGTGTGAAAGCGTATAATCTAGAATCATGGTGAAGGGAACAAGCTGCAACCACAGCGGAACAAATACGGCAAGTTTTTAGAGATGTGAGCAGATATGCTCTTGGTTAGTTGAGATCAAGTTTTCCAAGGAATTCTCGAGGAGCAGGCCCACCATCTGGACCATTGTGGGCGAAGTCTGTAGGTGGTCAGGCCACCTGGTTGCGGCGCAGGAATTAGTTGGAACGCCACGTCGCTGGTGGCGGCGCAGGAATCAGCTGGAACGCCACGTCCCTGGTGGCGATCGACGCCGGCCAGGTAGCGCTAGAGAAGATCCTTCGCTTTCCTGTTGTCAATTGGTGGTTTGGTGCTTGGTCTGGAGAGTTTCCTCGGATTTTACGCCATACGAAAAACTGAAAGTTCGGCATTTTGTGTCCAGGTTCAATCTCTTTCTCCACTGGTATTACCCAAACTGCCAGTTTAGGAGTAATACTTGCACCTGGAACACCTTTTTTTGTGGAGGTTTTCGAGATGTCTTTCGATGTTTGCTTCTTCCAAGCCGAAGAAAACCACAATCGATCTCATGTTTCATCAGGACTGTTCGCGCAATCGCGTGCAGGACATCGATAGCCCACCCATTTTCCGGAGAAGGTGTGGATGTCTAGATTTCGACCTGGTTAAGTGAGTTTTGCTGTAGTTGGAGCAAGGTGTGATTGAAATCCTCGCAGCTGGATAGCCATGCTGGCAAACCGGGCGGGAGTTAGTAAGAGTTGGGAATGCGGATCAGCTCAAGAAAGAATTTTAGTTAGTTGCAATGAATGGGTCAGTCTTTCATAGTTTGAGCTTGGAGGACTTTTAGAGGTCGAGTGGTCAGAGTGAATCATTTAGTAGCACGTTGGAATTGACGGAGATAGTGAAACATTTGCGACAGTGAGTAGCATTGGCAGGGCAAAATGTGCAAGAATTGGAGCTGTATTCAAGTTTTGTCGATTGTGCAAGTATGTTGAATTTCTGTAGAAAATTACAATCATGGAGACCACAGACGGCAACTTTGATCCACCGGCAAATAGGATTCCATCTTATGACTCCGTCTACCATGATACTTACTCTAACAACAAAGTGAATGTTAATCTCACCTCGGGAATTGTCATCGTCGTTCTGGTTGGGTTATGCTTCACTCTGGAGTTCGTCTCCGCCACCATTCGCAAATGTTATCGGGATGACGTTATGGAAGCTCCGACCACCGCACAATTGGCCAGAAGCGTTAGGCCCAAGCCGCGGGGACTTAATAAGGCGGAAGTTGACTCGCTACCTCTAGTCCACTGCAAGGATTTGGACGTGAGAGACAATCAGGAGTGTCCTATCTGTTTAATCTGCTTCGAACCCGAGAACACCTTGCGTGTGTTACCAACGTGTAAGCACATTTTTCACCAAGCGTGCATAGATTTGTGGTTTGAGTTGCATTCCACATGTCCTTCGTGCCGCGCGAGTTTGCTGGACCACTTTGGAATTGAGGTGAAAACGAACGGTGAGCAAGTCGTGGCCAGGGACCAAGTCGAGACAACTTCAGAGGTTTTGGAGACCGGGGACCGTAATGTCGAAGTGCATCGCATGATCAACATGTTGGGTCTTGAAGGTAATTTTGTAACTTCCATGAAAATTTCAGATGCTCGAAAAGATTGCTATGTAATGCTTAAAAGCTCCAACCGATGAGAATTGCTTCAATTTCTAAATGATTATCTCAATAGATTACACTAATGTCGAAGTCTCATGCTTGTAATTTTTGTGCCTCAGATTTGACTGCCACTGGAGTACTAGAAACGGATGCCGTAGTTTCACTGGAAAATGAGCGAGGCCGTGCGCACGGGACTCCTCTATCTCGAAACCCTCCCTCGTTCGTGTGCACTGCGCTAGGTGTAAAGCCAAATGAGAAGGGCGCATCATCATCCACAGAACACTTCTCCAGAAGTTATACTTTTCAAGCACAACCTTCAACACCTTTGCCGAGTATCCACCGGTCGAACTCCTTGGGAATAGATATGCTTTATTTGAGAAACCTTCTGACGGAGGCTGACTGTACTTTGAACCAGCTGCAGTCTGACGAGTCATCCACCTCATGGCTCAGACGGGCCAGAAGCATGGACTCAGGGGTAAAGTGTTTCATCCTCCGGGATGGACGTTCTGGAGAGGCCACCGGAAATGAAAGAGTAGTAATTGATTTAGAAAGTGGAATAACCTCAGCAGCTATGCCAGGCTCAAATGAGGGACAATCTTCGTAAGGTCCATCCTCTGTGAGCTCCGCCCTGGGGCGAGCATAGTCGGACAGGATTATTTCAGGGCAACTTTCCTCACGCACCTCGCTCTTGCCAGTTTGAAACATGAGGTTAGCTTAGTTGCATGCTTAACTTTCAAGAGGCTTCGCCAAAGAGGAGGTTTGTATACCACGTGTGAAGCAAATTTGTAGAGATGGCAGCAAGATCAACACGAGCAACCATGAGGAGATCGTCGCTGTTTTCCAGTGATCGGTTGCACACAGGCGGTAAAAGCTGAACTTACCGTGGCTTGCATTGTACACATTTCCGGATGCCGCATCCTTGAAGCAGATACCAAAGAACTGGAGTACTCCACATTGGGTGTGCTTCTGGGGGATTGACTGTCCTGAGCTTATAAATACAATGATCAATGCGAATCGCCTTTGTTGCTTGACTTTGTAGGACGTGCTTCATCATGGCCCATAAGATCATCTTTAGATTCTGTTGGACCCTTCACGCTGCTCCCTTCGTCGCATTCTGTCCTATTCAGTCACCAAATCTCAACTTGACAATCACACCCGCACTGCTTCTGCTGCCACACTCCGCTTCGTATTGCCGCCTTGGATCGCTCCTACCTTCATCTCTTCGACCATTACATCTACGATTTCCAACTTCTAGAATACTCTTGCCGCTTAGAACTCTAACTATGTTTCTGCGTCTTTCTCGTCAACTATACTTCCGCTTCGTATTCGATCGCTGGATCTTTACCTCCTCGTTGTTCGCCCTTTCTTTTCCACTTCGCACTGATTTTCTCCTGCTGCACTGTCACTCGCAGCCATCGTCGGCCGCCTGTTGGTATTTTCTCAATTTTTCTTGTGTTTTTATTATTATATTATTATATATAATCTTTTAATTCTACAATGAAGTTAGAGTAATCTTGATTTTTTAAATTTTAATGTCTTGAGTAGAATAATCTACTCATCATGGCTTTCATTGCAAATGTTTTTATATTATTTTATTTTTAAACTCCTCTATTTGCATGTGGAGCATTAAAATTGAAGCTCTTTTGTAATACTTTTATTCTAGCAACAAAACAATCAATAATTTAAAGAAACTTAACTACTTTTAAAGATGTCTAGAAAAGACTTAAGTAGTTATACAAGCCATTAAATTAGGTATTACAGTTTAATTCTGGTAAACATTTATACTATTTAACTTTAGACAAAAAAAAAAAAAAAAAAAAAAAAAAAAAAAAAGGCGTTTGTAAATTTATTGAAATTAAAAATTGAAACTTAAACTTGTTGTTGTCAGTTGTGTTTTTATAGAAGCATAACAAATAACCAATTATTATGTTTTATCTTATATTTTATACCAAATTAAAATTATTTGTAGTGAAAAAAAAAATCTTTAAAAACATTAACTCTAATATCCAAAAACATTAAACATATATCTTGTAATCAGTAAAAAATCTTTCTAACTAATAGAAATTGAAGGATGAATTTAAAGCAACAAAATACTTTTATACCTACACATCATATGTCTTTAAAAAATTTAAATTTGTATTAACTTATAAACATTCAAAAACAGAAAATAATAATATATACATATATATATATATATATACAAATTATCATAGATTAAGCTACATATATAAGAATAAAAAATAATAAATAATAAATTTATTAGAATAAAAATTAGAATAAAAAATGAAGAGTCAATAAATCTAATACGAAAAAATATGAAAATTATGAATAAATAAAAGCATGTTATGAAAATAAAATTTATATATATATATATATATAATTATAAATATTAACTTAAATTCCTATCAAATAAAATTATTATAAAAATTAAAAATTAAAAATTAAAATTAAAATTATAAGTATATATATATATATATATATATAAATGATAAAAATAATAATAATTATATATATATATAGAAATGATAAAAAATATCAAAATAATGGATATGTATAAAATTTTAAAATTAAAAATGTCTAAAAGTACATATCATTAAATAAAATCTAATCTAATCTTTTATTTTTTAAAAAACCATATTCTTCAATTAGGTATCTCAAATAAATAATGTTATTTTGAAATTAAACTATTATATAATATAGACTAATTAGTATATTTTTTTAAAAAATAATTTACAAAGTATTTATCAATCTTATAAAATAATATTTTTTATAAAACATACATGTTTTTATACTTTTTTAATATTTCATTTTATTTATAAATTTTATATTTAAATAATTTTAAATATTTTTAATATTTAAAGATATAAAAAATATACAAATTTCTAAATAAAAACCACCTAAATTTTTAAAATTTAAATTTACTTGTTTTTAATCTAAATTAATAATTTTTGTGATTCAAAACACAAATAAATTTACTAAAAATCTTTTAATGTCAAAAATTTCTTTAGAAGATAAAAAAAATAATTTGGTCAAGAGATAATATAATGGAACTAGTGTAGATTTTTATTTTGTGCATTTGAAAAACTTAAAGATTTTTAAAGACTATACTATCCAAAACATCTTTAAATTGCATCTAAAGATTAATGTACACCTAAAATTCACTTTATCTTCTTTAAATAGTCATGCTTGCTTATCATTTATTAAAAAAAATTATTAATATTATCAAATTTATTATTCAATACATACTAAAATAATATTGCCATAGCTTATGTTACTTATAAGGTATTTATCTAATTATTTGACTATTCAAAAATAATCTCCAAATTAGGTATTAAAGAAGATGAATATGTAAAATAAATATTTATTTTAATCAAAAAATTAAATAGGTCTATAAATTTCAACACGTTTTTGTGAATTTATTGATTTAAAATCCAAATGTGATGAAATTTGACTAACAAAAGGTAGTTCACAAGAAATTCAATAATAAATATAATCCAAATAAATTTCTAAATTCTTAAAATAATACAATACAAAAAGTCTAGTCGCAACTATTACCACTACAAAAATTCAACTTTACAAGCTAAAAAATATGAAACACCTTGAAGAAATGCAATTGCAATTGTCAATGACATGTTAAAACTCAAGACACTAATAACATGCAGTATAGACATTCTAATTTATTTGTTTTTTTTTTTGTATATGCAATCCATAATCATGCTATATGAATGTCTTTTTATAAACTTCACACATCCAAGATAGGCAAAAAATAAACAACTAACCTTGTTTGTTCTATTGCATTTGTATATGTACTAGTATAAAGAGTTGTAAAGATTTACCATTAAAATAAAAGAGACAAAGAATTATGAAGCTCAATCCTATTAAGACATTAGTATTCATTGTAGACAATGTAAGCAACTTCATAACTGATAAAATTTCAATGGTATAATATAGTAACAACATTCTTTTGAACTATCTCTATAACAAACATCTAAGTAGTTAATGTCTTTTGTGCAAGTTGAAGGTAATAAACAATAGAATGTCTTGCCAGCAATGTAAGAGGACCATGATTATGACTTCTATTTTAAATCAATAAGTGCTAGTGTTTGTTGATATACTATCAACATGCATAAAATTCAAATAGGCAGCCTGTCAAGCATGTAGCTGAGCTATAGTGACAGTGTAAATTAGTATTAAGTTAAATATAAGTAGGTCCTCTATCATATTTAAAGATGATATGATACTTCTTAAAGTAATGTCGACAAATAATATAATTCTAGGTGTATGTAATTCTATCTAAGTTTTTTTTATGTTTTTAAATATATATAAAGATTTATTTGGTGGACGATCTATATTGAGAGGATTTTCCATTTTAAAATGGAACAATCTCAAAGTGGCCAATGCCCCTCATTTCCTCCTTAGATAGTAGATAGTATAGTAGAATATTATAAAAATAATATTTCTAAAGTGTAATAAGTTGAAAGAAGATTGTAAAAATTCATAGCCATAATGAAGTAGGCAATATGAACATTATAAATACATAGCATTGCATTATTAATGTTTATTGTAGTTGTCTAATTTGAAGTTCTTTTATAAATTTTATTTCCATAATTGCACTATTTCTATATACCTAATAACCATGATTGCTCCAATCAATCTTCTAATGATGGTTATAGTGGCAAATTACACCTTAACAATCTATTTTTTTAATTTTTGATTTGTATGTATATAGGTACAATCTAATGATTATCTATTTTTTGATGATTTTGATGATAGATGGATCAATTTAACAACTGATGAAATTGATTTGACATTCTCTTCCATTTATTGGCAAGACAAAGAAATATATCTTAATATTAGTATTTATTCTTATAACTATAAATTATCTCAATATTTTATTTCTACTTCTTGTCACTAGTGCGAATTTAATAGGCTAAAATATATTTTAGATTATTTTATATTAGATTTTCTTTATAGTCAAATTATTTTTTTAATATTTAAAAAATAAAATTACATATTTAGATTCTTTTAAGGTATAAATTTTAAAAATTTAATCATCTCTACACTTATAATTATTATCTAATGTTTAGATAATAAAATGATTGATTGATCTTAGATTACTTTCAATACATATTTAATCCTAAAAATAAAAAATAAAATAAAAAAAAAAATGATATTCTGTTACTAATATATATATCTATTCCAATAATGACCTAAATAATATGAATATATAGAAGTATATAAAAATAGATCAATTTGATAAATATCTTGAAGAAAAGCTTGTTAAAAGCTTCATAAATGCAATTTCACCTTTATATATATCTATAGGTAATTAATAGGTTGAATACTTGGCCAACAAGTTAGCTATATTGCATGTATTCCTAGCTTGTGGTACAAGCTAATTATATGGCATACATATAAGAAACTTGCTTTGCAAGTTAAGACACATGTGTTGCAAATTAGACATGTATTAAAAGTTCTATAGAATGTCGCCATGTAGTTCTTAGTTAGATAGTATATATGGAGGCAAGAGTGAAGTCTTCTTCACTCTTGTCAATGTTTTTTTTTCTCTTAGTCTTGTTTCAAGAAACTCTAATTTACTTGACTTTGGCAATAGCAATTCTAATTTAATATTATACCATTTTTGAGTGATTATTTAGTCTTTTTGAGTGACATAAGAGTGTATTGATCTTTTGGTTCTTTGAGATTCATATCTTTGATACTAAACTCTAGTTTTTTTGTCTTTGGAAATAGCCATTATAATTTAATATTATACCATCTTTGAATGATTATATAATATTTTCAAGTGAGACAAGAGTATATTAATCTTTTGATTCTTTAAGATATATATTCTTAATAAATTTTTTATAAAATATTCCACATTCAAAATTTTAATAGTTACTTAAGTAATTTATTAAAGTATAATTTTAAAAGAATAAATAAATGAATATTATACTGATAATTCTTTCTTGGCACTAATAAATATATTCTACCTAGTTGTGAGAAGATGCTTAAGCGGTTGGCTTATATAAAT